CTTAAGATCTCGTACCTCGGCCTAGCTCGCATTGTTCTTCTCTTCGTCTGAGGAGTCGGAGTCCGAACCACTTCCTTCGAGCATCTCGTCGTCGAGAGCTAGTGAGGGCGTAGGGGCCGCTACCGTAGGCTCCTGTCCCTGGGTAAACTGGTTTCCGTTGTGGGCCATTATGGTAATCTTATTCGAGCGACTATGGGTTAAACTCCTCCACTAAATTCGGTGGTGGTCAAAGTGTTACACGGGGTTCGACTATACTTAGCTAGGACTCGATCCAGGTTAGGGCGAGTCAGCGGGTTCGTGGTAAGCCGTGTGATTGCCGAGTAATTCAAGTGGAAAAGAGTTATGGAGGTTTAACCGATAGTAAAGACAATCAATTCTATAGTAACATAGAATAACAAAGTACCAATCTTGTTAAGTAAAGAACTTGTAAGAGAGTACAGTATAATGAGTTGACCACAACGAGTGTAATAATGAAATCCAACACATTCTTATACCTATTGCTTTCCAGTCCTGCCATCCTGTCCATCCCATCTTTCTGCCTCTTGGCGGGATGTCTGGGATGGCATACCATCCCAAGACCCACTGCCATCCCAGTCTTGGCGGGATGTCTCGTCTTGGCGGGATGGCACGTCACGTGATCACCGCGGGGTTGTCGTCATGCCTTTGGTGTCATCCCAAGTGATTCTCCAACCACTTGCCATTCCTTTTAGGGGAAGAATTCTTCTGCTTGTTACTTGTAACATAAATATCTTAAGCTACCTAAAGTAGAGCGTGCTTAGCTACTTTAAAAAAGGATTAAGCAGCTTATAGAAAACTATATAGTTTAGAAGAGAAGTAGTAAGTTTAATCTCTCTACGCTATAGTATAGCTACCAGTACTTAGCTAGCTATAGAATAGTACACTAAGACCTATTAGCTAGCCTTTGCAAGAACCTTCTAAACTACGCTACGCTAGGATTTTATTAATCTTATTTTGCTTATAGTTATATCTCTACTTAATTTAGTATATCATATAATAAATAACTAAAATAAATACCTTAGTAAGTTTAGCCTACTTCTTAGAAGTAAACCTCTTTAGTAGTTTAATATCTTACGTAGGACCTAAGCCTTCTAAAATAATATTATTATTGAATTCTTGCTTAATTAACTATATGGTTAGCTATAATAAAGATATGTAATATTATAGAAGTTAAATAGAGTAGTAGTAGTCGTAGTAGTCGTAGTAGTCGTAGTGGTAGCAGTAGTGGTAGCAGTAGTGGTAGTGGTAGTGGTGATGGTGGTGGTGGTAGTAGTAGTAGCAGTAGTAGTAGAAGTAGTGGGAGTAGTAGTAGTTGTAGTAGTAGTAGTAGTAGTAGTAGTAGTAGAGTAGTGGTAGAGTAGTACGCAGGTAGTTTTATTCAAGGTGAAGGTGGAATACTATTTTTAGTAGGAGCGTCGCGCTGCGGGCGCTAGCGCCCTATAACCCTAGCCACCGCTTGCGTAATATCTTATAACGCGTGCATCTCTGTTAATGAAAGTTAAAAACTTATTATATAGGTGTTAGAATAAAGCTTATACGCTCTACTTTATAGCTGTAGAGTATTATAGTTTTTTATTATAGAGATATTGAGATATCTATAGGGTAATTAGGCTACGCTAGCGCCGCGCTAGCTTAAGAAGGCTGCCTAGCAAGCAAATAACTAATTACTTCTAGAATCGCCTACACAAAACTACTATTACCACTTCTACTACTACCACCACCACCACCACCACTACCACTACTACTACTACTACTACTATACTTATAGTTCTTTATTATATACTATAGCCCGCACCCAGCAAATAGTAAAAAGGTCAACTAGAGGCAAATAGCTGCGCAAGAATCTAGCGGGAAAGGTAGCGCGTAAGGGTGCTACTAAGACTACTTATACCGCTAAAAAGCGCTTATTTAAGCCTAGTAGTAAGTTTATTATAGGCTTTTATTTTATATAATAACTAATTACTTATAGCTATTACGCTTAGGAAATTAAGAGGCTATAAAAAGGGTAGGACCTATTAATTCTAAGAAAATGTAATAGGCGGGCCCAACGGGCCGAGCGTACGACTACTTACGCCATCCATAGCCAAAAAGGCAGTAACAAGACTTCAAGCTTCTTGAAGTCCAGGTAGTCGTATAGATATACTCGATCACACACACTTTAGGCGTAGCCTCTTACATTAGCTAACCTAACCCTACCCCTACCTAGGTCTTAGCTAACCTAACCCTACCTCTACCTAGGTCTTAGCAACTCTACCCCTACCTATGCTAAGGAACCTTAGCGTGGGTAGGGGTAGGGGTAGGGCTAGGTATTATATAAGCCAACCCTACCCCTACCCTACCCCTACCCATTCGCCAGTCTAGTCTTTATATACTCGTTAAAGTGCTTTAACTATATAAGACTAAGCTTATTATTTATCTAGCTATTCTTTAATACTAAAAGCTTCTAGTTATATAGTATATCTACTTTTTTATACTATATAGAGATATAGACATATCGTTTGTAGATAATAAATAGCAAAGTAGCGTATCCCGTAGCGCAAATGCTTTAGATAACTATAACCTACTTATAATTGCCTAGCTGCGTGAGAGTAGGCCTCGTACGACGCTCTACGCCTATAACTACCTTTATTAAGCTAATTACGCCTATCTAAAAGCTAGTTTTATTAAAGCTATAAATGTTATTTAAATAAACTTTATACTTCTTAACTATCTCTAATATAAGCTTAAACTACGCGTTGATAATCTCTAGATTCTCTTATTAAGTTCTCTAATAATTCTTTACTTAACTAAAGGCTATTCTAAGCGCGTCTATATAAGTAATAAACTACTCTACCTAGCATTTACCTAAAGGCTTACTATCTTATTTGCGTAGTAGTTTCTCTGCTATATTTACTACTTTATATGGATAGAGGGCAAATCCTCATAAATTTAGGTTAAGAATATATTATATAATAGTTTGCTCTTTAGACTTAGTTAGCTTTTGGTAATTTAGCTATATTATAGGTTAAAAGGTAATTCTTTAAAGCTACTAAGAGATCGACTAATATCAAACGTTATAGGCTGCTATAGCGCGTTGAATACTCTTAAACTAGCCTATATAATAGGCCTAGATAGCTAAAGTAAGCCTACCTTCTTACTAAGTTAATATTACGTTCTATTGTTAGGGCATTATCTTTTGTACGTGAAGTTCGTGATTCCAAGAAAAAGTGGCACACTTAGTAATGTGGCCCGCTTGGTGATGGAATACGTTATTATAAGTAAAGATAGCTATATAGTAAGTATAAAAGTAAAACAAGCACTTAGGCTCAGAGGTAAAGAAGTTAAAAATAGCAATTTTATTTAGCTTACTAATATCTAATGCTATAATATATATACTAGGCTAAGGAGGGCTAAACTAAAGTAATAAAGGTTAAAATAGCGTAAGTAGAGATGACTTAGTACTACTTAAGTTAGTTAAAGCTAAAAAGGTAAGTAATACTCTAAAGAGTTTTAAAATAGGCTAAAGAGGCTTAATTTAGGCTTACTTAAGGTAGCCTTATATATATAAACTTTCAAGAGTACTAAAAAAAAACCTAAAACTTACTAAGAAAGAAAAAGGTATATAATAGAAAAGAAGGCTAAAAAAAATAGACTAAAGTAGACTAATTTAGCCGAAAAGATTACGCTAAGATGCTAGCACTAGCGTAATATATAACTTCTCTCTTTTACTACTAAACGCCTAAGCGCTAGGTAGCTACACTAGCACGCTACTAGTGTTACAAGTAACAAAGGGAAGGATCCTCTCCCCAGACGCTGACGACAAAGGGTTGAGAAACCACTTGGGATGCATGACAGGGATCGCCGCGGGGCAGCGCAGCGATCACGTGACTGACATCACGCCAAGACCAACCATCAGGACTAGCGATGTGATGGCAGCTTTTATGTGATGGCAGCCATCAGGGACATTAGGAAAGACCAGGATTAAGTTGCGATGGCAGTGATGGCAGGACTGGAAGCAATGGGTATAAGAATGTGTCGGATTTCATTATTACACTCGTGGTCAACTCATTATACTGTACTCTCTTACAAGTTCTTTACTTAACAAGATTGGTACTTTGTTATTCTATCTTACCATAGAATTGATTGTCTTACTATCGTTTAAACATCCATAACTCTTTTCCACTCGAATAACTCGGCAATCGCACGGCTTACCACGAATCTGCTGACTCACCCTAACCCGGACTGAGTCTTAGCTAAATATAGTCGAACCCCGTGTAACAACTAGCATATATATAGGACTCTTACTCTTACTAGTAAAGATAGTATATCTTATAACTTCTACTACCTCTCTATACCTATAGCAACTACCTAAAAAGAACTCTACTAGTATAGTATATAACTGTTAAGAGTATAGATCAAGTGGAAGTAATATCAGACTTCTGGTGTTGATCTTCTTGTTGGTTGGTTTTCGCAGATAGAGTGACAGGGTGCAAACGAGGACGGTAACGTGCAAGTAGAATAACTCTCTGTATTATACTTGTACTTAAAACTTAAGTTAAACATATTGAGCTATAAGGGCTTAATGCCTAGTGCTATATACTAAAGCTTCATGCAATATGCTCAGTTGCTTAGTATTGCCAAGAGGTACTGATTACTGAGCAACTTGCAGGTTGCATGCAGAGTGCTTAGTTGCTCAGTAGTGCTAAGACATACTGATCACTGAGCAGGTCACGTGACTGCGGCACGGCTGCGAAGGATTGCGGCGTAGTGCATCCTTTGGATCCTCGAAACTGATCACTTAGTGAGTAGTTTTATCTGTTACTAGTCACGGATCGTAACACCATCCTCCCTCCCTATAGGTTTGTCTTTGAACCTAGGTCCTAGGGTGTGTGGTGGCGTCTTGGTGTTGTTGGTTATGTGGGGTCGCGTGGCACGCTATAACTAAGCGGTCCCTTTGTTATAAGCGTTAGCGTCTTGCCTTGTTTTTGTTATGCCCAAACAACCATCTTTGTTGAGTACCGTCCGTCGTTAGAATCTTGCTAATTTTATTGAATCCTTTAGGGAAATTATAGTGCAGAAGTGTTTGTTGTATGTAAAGAATAACTAAGTGTGCAAGGTGCATATTCGTTCTAGAAAATGTAGCGAATGTCTCCGTTGTGGACAACGGTGTATTGTCCGTGTTACCAAGTCCAAGTTTAAGCGTCTAGCTGCCGAGAAGGAGAAGTTAGAGGGTCGTATTAAAGAGAGTCGCGATGCGCAAGATGCGGCTATGAGGCTTCATAAGAAGGCTCTAGAAGAGTTGCGCACTTATCGTGCTTAGAAGCAGAGGTTGCGGCTATAAATAGATTTGTTGGAGAGGCGTGCTAAGAAGGCGATTGCTATAGAAAGTCGAGAGCTAGAAGAGTTAGAGCGGGAAGGCGTGTTAGAGTTCGACGAGTCTAATCTATTAATTAACTTGTCTCCTAGTACTTGGGGTGCGTTCGCGGATTTGCCTCTGGATTACTGGGAGCCTCTTAAGTCGAGCTTGGTTGTTTCTAGTTCAGGTGGTGATGCGCCCGTCTCCGGTGGTTGAGGTGCGTAGTATGATTTTCTTTGGTATTTATTGTGTTTCATTCGTTGTTTTGTCATCTATGCTATAGGTAGTAGTTGTACCCAATTGTCTTGCTAATAATTGGCGTAAATCCTAAGATATGTCTTTATTGTTTAGTTTGTTCGTTCTGTTTGTCCATTAGTTTATAGGTAGTAAGCTGTTAATAGCTTTCTCTTAGTTCTAATTGCTACAAGTAGTGTCGTCTAAAAGTTAGATGTGAATAGCTTGTCTCTATTACTAATAATTAACTTTAGTATTCTGTGGTGTTAGATGATTCTGTTGTGGATAATGTATGCTAAGTCCACTGCTGTGTAGTTGTTCCTAAATAAGATATACTCTGCTTGTTTTGTAAAGCGATCTACTACAACAAGTATTGCGTTGTAGGTAACCTTAGTTGTTGGATCCTTTGATGCTAGTAGTCCTGTAACGAAGTCTATAGAGATGTCTGCCTACGGTTCTTGTGGTAGTTCTAGGGCTTGCATTTCTCCGTATGGTGCGTGCGTGCTATGCTTGTTCTTTTAGCATTCTGCGCATTTGGCGATGTATGCTATAACTTTGTCTTTTATTCCTTTAAATTAGTAGTTGCGCTAAATTAGTTCTATAGTCCTAGCGATTCCTAAATGTCCGTGTATAGGATTATTATAATGTTCTTTAATAATAGTTTGTTGTACTTCTTTACGTACATCGTTCCTAATTTTTATAATAATATTAAGTTTATGTAAGCAGTTGAGGGTGTAGGAAGTATTGTGTATTCTGATGTGTATCATGATAGGAGCAAGTTTAAATACGGTGTTATTAGTCAGTGGGCAACCACGTGACCATACATGGTACTTCTGGGCTTACACACCTCCCTTAGGTTCGAACGCATGTTGAAGCTGATGTGATTATAGGCCACCCCCTGCTCTACAGAGTAGGGCTGCTTGCAAGAGTGCGGTGGGTTGCCGCTTGTATTGGAGCAGTGCCAGGTGGGGATCGTCCGCCGTCGCGGTGTAGGTGGACCTCGCTCTGTACTATGGGCGTCCCCAGTAGTCAGACGTCTCCTAGAGCTAGCACTGAGGTCCTGACTGCTTCTTGTTCTTGTATGGAGTTTAGTAGTGTGCCTTGATATTTAATAAAAGAGCTTTGTAAGCGTACAGCCTCGTTAAACCTATAAAAACCATAGAGGAAAAACTAGGAAGAGTACTGCACTATATAGCTATAGCTTATATAGTAGGAAAGATCTTGAAATGTAAAAGTGATACCCAATTTTCGTGTCTCTAACGAGGCAGTAGTTTAGTAAGTCCATCAGCGGGTTAAACGCTAGTTAGTATATATGTGAGGTTGAAGTTATGAGCTTGTGCTTCTTAACGAAGCTAGTGATAATGTATGTTGACGTGCCTAAGCGACGTCTTGAGTTGTAGTGTAGCTGCTGTAATTAGCCGTATTGTTTGTTAATTGTCGCAGTATAGTATCTGCTCATTGCCTAGATCAAATTTAATCTCCTTAAATAGTCTCCACCACCATAGCAGCTCTGTGCCTGCAGACGAGGCGGCGATTAGTTCAGCTTCAGTAGTTGATTTTGTGACACATCGTTGCAGTGTAGCCTTCTAGTCAATAGGCCCGCCAAATAGGAAGAAGATGTAGCCTTGCGAGCTTTTCCTTGTGGCCTTGTGGTCGGCGTACGAGGCATCCGTAGCACCATAGAAGTCTGGTTCTTGATGATCTTCAATATGTGCTATGTCGGTAGAGATGGAGGCATTGTAGTACAGTGCTTGATCCTTAGTAGAGTATAGATAGCTGAGCGTTTGATAGGCAGCATTGATATGCTGTTGTGAAGGGTTAGTGAGGAATTTAGCTAGTTTTGAATGCGCTTTTAATACATTAGGTCGTGTAGCAGCTGCTACATAGCTAATTGATCTAACTAGCTGTGCGTATCTATGTATATTCGCGTTATTTCTTAGTTAGCCTAAAGGGAGTAGTTCCTCTAGAGGGAGAGGAGTGGCTAGAGGCCGCTTGAACGACTTTGGTAATGGATATTTGGCGTTAAGCTTGTTAATGTAGGCTAACTGCGATAGCTAGATAGATCTAGTTGATCTGTCGCGGTGTGTTTGTATTCCACAGAAGGTGGATAGTTCTCCAAGCAATTAGATCTTATATCGACGTAGTAGCTTACGTTTAAAGTCGTTAAGTGCTGCTGTATGGGCTAGACGCGTAAGTATAACTATATCATTAATATAAAAGAAGACAATAAGCTTTTCATTTCGCCAAAGGCAAGGTGCCTCTTTAACTTCTTAAAGACCTAGTTCATTAAGCGTCTTTGTGAGCTCTTTGTACTATAGTAGTGGTGAGGCCTTGAGCCTATAGAGAGCTCTGCGTAGTTCCCACAGATGCTTAGCATTAGAGAAGCCTTCTAGCGGGTGACAGTAAACAGGTGTATTAAGTTAAGCATTAGTGAATGCGTTAACTGCGTCGTATTAGCGTATTTTAAGGTTAAAGTATGCTGCAATAGCTATAAGTCCTTAAAAGATGCGCGTAGCTAGAGTTGCAGCGTATGTATCCTTAGCTATCGCTTGTAGATCGCCTTAAACGCAGATTCTAGCCTTGTATTTAACTAGATATCCCTTATTATTAAGCTTATATTTAAACACCTATATCAGCGGCAGGACTTTAGTGTCTTAAGTGTTAAAATCCTTCTAGGATATAGTCTTGTACGTATCCTTGCGCTTAATATCTAAGATCTTACGTTGCATTGCT